ATTTCAACGCGTAGGCATATATTAGAACGAAAAACACTCGAAAGCGCCACGAGAAAACCACGTAAATAATATTGAAATAATATATCTCAGCACACGCGATTAAAACAAAAAGAAAATATTTTTTTTTTTTTTTTTTTTTTTTTTTAAATTTCGAACAACAATTATTTGATATTCTAAATTATTTAAGGAGACGAGTATGATGACCCGCGCCCCGTGGTTTAAAGGGTGCTCTACCCTTGACATCTTACTGATATATTATACTCATCCGTTAATCTATTGAGCCATATAAGGATCTAATATTGTATTATCTAATATTGTAGACGAAATCATGTAATATCGCGTCTAGGAATTTCCGCAAATCGTGTCACGCAACGTCCGCTGCAGCAGTACATCCGCGACGATTCGCATGAGTTGCATATAATAAGTATACATATTATATACCTGTATGGAACACTTCGTATACGCATATGTTAGTTTGCCGGCTTTTACGACAAAAATTATCCGTGAATAATACAGTAATGTTTTTTTTTTTTTTTTTGGAATACACGACGCGCATGTAGGTGTAAGTATACATCATACATCAAGTGTGAAACCGACAGTATAAAGTATTTACCTACGATATACCTACTACGACACTACTATATCATATACATAATAGATATCCGCGTACCTATCCGCGTATCGTACATGTATAATATATTATAATATGCATAATGAACAACAGCGACAGTTTTCATTTAGACACACGCGCCTAATCATTACCAGCATTATAATATACACAGCTTATCATCAGTCCGTTTGTTATTCAAATTTAAAACGTACTTACCTGTACAGTGTGTGTTACACAATGGCGTGTAGCCATTGTCTCACGAAGCACAATACTATTAGTATATTATTACGTAATAGGTCCTATAGTGAATATCGGAAGTGAACATCGGGATTTTTCATCGACAACAAAAAAAAAAAACCAAAAACCGAACAGTAGCTATTACCACATTCATGATATGCCTACTCCCCGTCGTAGCTGGCAATACACAACAAAAATTGACTCTATAATTATTATAATATGTACTACAGGTATATATTATACCAATACGCTTACTATATACTACTATTTCGGACGTGTACGAGAGATCCGATTCACTGCGGTATCGACGAATATAATATAATATCCAGAGCTGGATCTAAGAAATTTGAAGCCCGGGGCTAATAAAAATGGAGTACCCTAAGGTGGAAGTACGGGGTATGCCGCGTGTCAGCATAAAACAAAATGTTCAAATACAAATCAAAAAGTATATTTTAATATTACGAATACTTTTATTATATATTTATACCATGGTACTATGCATGTATACGCGAAAACTCAATACACTCTACTCAACTAGCTTACCTACATTAATCAGTACCCTATACATATTTTAGAATAATATTAGCTCGAGATTCATGATCCAATAGCTTAGTTTCATTTCTCGCACTCTCGCCACAGAATTAAAAAATATGTATAGAGTACACACATGGTTTAGTACAGAATATGTCAATATTATAATTGAACTGATTTAATGCACATTACTCGAAAGTATTTGAAAGAATTCTCATAAAAATATCTTAACTTTATAATTTTCCCCAACAAGATTTTTTGAACTGTAATATTATGTAGGTACAACTGTAATAATTAATGACCTTTTTATAATATTAACTCAAGAGTTCAAAACAAAATGTTTTAAATATCCCAACCATGATAACATTTATTAAATTTAAAATAAAAATATATGATTTAATTTGACAGGTGTTAAAATTGCTTACCATAGGTTTCTGTTTTCAAAAATAAATTGAGAGGTTTCAATTCAAAACGAAACTTTTCCATTTTTCTTATTTATCAGGACAGCTCTTTGCCACAGGCTGGTGGAAAACTCGTTTTCAGAGAACACAATACATCAGTTTTCTATTCCACTTCAATTATTGAATACTTGTACTTTTGCTTACATGGGTTTACTCGTCAAATGTTTTATTTATATTCTCTATGACTTTATTAACTGATGTAGGTTATGTACTTATATGTATTATATTTACCTATGTCCTATTATGAAATTATGTTCTATTAATATTATTAAATATTATATTATGTAGGTATTCACTTGAACGGGAACAACACATATTATATCTACCGTCATAATATTTAATAAACTAATACAGTAACATAATATGGCTGAACTTTACAACGAAGCCAGATTATAAAAGTCACTAACTGTATTGACCGCAAATCAAATGGAATTAAATATTTATAATATAGATATTTTTAAACTAAAATTAATAAAAATTCAATATTTTCCTTATCTCAACAACCAACCACTTCCCCCTGCGCAATGCGTACGTTACCTCGGTATCCTTATCGACCGCCGTCTAACTTGGAAACCTCACATAATTAACAAAACTCGACACTAAATGACCGCTTCCGGCTCCTTCGTCCACTTCTAACATCAAAGCACATGAAACCTTCCAACAAACTCCTGCTCTACAAACTCCTACTCAGACCCATCTGGACTTATGGGATTCAACTATGGGGCGCTGCCAAAATCTCCAACATCAACCGCATTCAAAGATTCCAATCCAAAACTCTACGCACAATTCTAAAAGCACCATTCTATGTCTCTAACCACACCCTCCACACTGATCTCAAAATACCATTTGTCTCTGAACTAGCCAAAACTCATTATAAACGTTTCAATAACCGCCTAGCTCACCATAAGAATCCGTTAATCTCCGACCTATCATCTGCTTCTATCCCAGGTAACCCAGTTAAAAGACTTAAAAGACAGTGGTGTCGCGACCTGCTAGCCTAATTTAGTCCTACTCATGTCGTAGTACCTCCGCTGGGAGGCCTCTACATTCGGGATAATCTGTCATTTATTTTTATTTTATTTTATTTTTACTTTCATCAATTGTTCTTATTGTTCATGTTTTGAAACAGATTGAATAAATATTTTAATTACAAAAAAAAAAAAAAAATATTTTCCACTCAATGTTTGGAATTGTTTCATTGTACAATAACGGTTGGTATTCTTGAGACTTATAACTTTAAAAAGAAATTTACAAAACTAGTGACAAAAAGATTACAATACCACATCATAATATCGTTTATACGTCTTGTATTAAACTGTAGGTACTTATACCAATTTGTGTTAATCAAAAACGGATTGATCCGGTGGGCCGACATCCTGTGGTAGTGTACCTTATTTTTTTCGACTTAAAATTATATTAAGAACTGCAGGTTTAGGAGCAAACTATCTGAATTTAAATTCGAGGCGCGACAAGGCTGGGAAGATTCATGTTATCACCTACTACACAGTTAAACTACACAGTCTAACTATGCAGTATAAGACCTCGCTAGGCAATCGTTGTGTGCATGATCGAAGAACAGGACTAATATATTATTATACCGGCTATACGTGACCTAACACAATGTACTTTATAACGTATGAGATTGGTTATTAAAATATATATTATAATAATTCGATACTCGGCGGAAAAACTTCAGTGCCATTCGCAAACCGTCTTGGTACCGTCAGTGTTTGCGCAGCGACAATACACAACCCATACACAAACATTATTATTTGAAGTCGACTTTGCGCTCGCCGCACCGCGTGGGCCCATTATGACGTTTTACTCTTATACATTTACCAGCAGCGACCACGTAAATTAATTATAATTTGCACACGCTTCGTATGCAAGTACAGTGAGTATACTTACACAAAAACCAAATATTTATTCTACACTCGACCACCACGCCGGTTCGAAACACAGTGGCGGAAACGAATGATGAGGCATTGCAAGGACAATAGACGACTATACGGTGCGACGCATGCAAGTCGGCTCAGCTGCAATCGTCCCGGTCGGGCGGCACACGTCCTGTATAGGTATAATAATAATATTAAATACATGTGCCTCAGCAGCTGCGGTTAATTGAACTGTCAAGTCGTTCTCCGGGTAAATATAATAATGTGGCGCGTGTTCCATCGCAATAAGTCCCAGGTGGTCGGAAAAAAATAATGTACGTCTTATGTAGTTATTCGAGCTATAATAGTGTATATAGTTATTTTTTACGACTTGAAGTTATTGTTTATTATTTCGATTATGGGAAATGTAATGATACGACAACTCTTAGGTATTTGATAAGCAAAACTTTTTTTTGTTTGCCAGTTGATATTACGATTTATAAAATAGTTACTCCTGGAAAAACAATGCTGCACTGATGAGCAGGGAACTTGGGTCCAAAAAAACTGGATGCAACTTACACCCCTGTCGTATTTGTTGAAAGATTATTAGTGTCTAAAGTAGAAAAAAACATATAGGTATAATGGTAATATTGTAACGATTATACAGTGTGATCACGATAAGTGGAAACACTCAATAACTATGTGTAGGCTTCATATATTTCAATTCTGTTTTTTTGGCTAACTAATAAACATTATTATACACATTTTCAAGTAATTAGACTATTTTTGTGACACTTAATTTTGCGCATGCGCACAATAATTTTTTTTTTTTAATGGCATGACCTATTTTTGACCACAAATTATTTTTTAGTGTATTTTTCAATGAATTTCAGTGGTTGAATTTCTTTTCTAAGTTCAAAAATGGCCGAGTTATAGTAATCTGATTTTATGTTATTTGCATGGGTATAATAGATTATAAAATAATAATAGATACGTAATAGGTTATAAAAATTAAAATAACTAATCCAATTTATGAAATACCTGTTTACCTATTTAGTTTATCTTTATTAAACTTATCTCAGTAATTGTATTTTAATTATAATGTATAAATAATAGCATACGTGGATAGGTACCTACCAGTTACCTATAATTCAAATTAAGTAATTTATGACAGTCGATATTATTCTGCAGAAAGTGCCACTAATGTCAGTAACTAATAAGAAATAAAAGTCGATATCTTGTAGTTTTAACTTTTAAAGCAGATTTAATACTTATCTATAAGTTAATATGGATAATAATTCAGAAAAAGTTGACATGCTTTTTACATATTGGGAATGTCAAAAAAATACACGTCTTGCCAAAGAAACCTATGCTTTTCGTTATCCGAGTAAATATGATTTAACAATACATTTAATTGTCTCTGCTTGATTTCCCATCATATTAATCTTTCTTATTTATAAATTCAGATAGGCAGCATCCATCACATAGTTTTTTTTATAAACTGGAAAAAAATTTAAGAGACACCGGTTCTTTTTCCAAACGAGTTATTAACCAACAACCAAGACGAGGAAATGCTATTGGAGAAGATGTTGAGGTACAAATACTAGCTTACGTTAGAGCAAATCCAAGGTCTTCTATTCGTCATGTTAGTAGCCAAATAAACATTTCATATGGAGTAGTTCAAAAAATTTTAAAAAAACATAAAATGCACGCTTATCGTGCTGATTTAGTTCAACATTTACGTGAAGGTGACGCTGAACGTAGAATTACGTTCATTGCTTGGTTGGAAACCAAATTGATCGAAAATCCTTCCGTTTTAAATTACATTCTTTGGACAGACGAGTCTAAGTTTACAAATAATGGAGTTTTAAATAAACAGAACCATCGCTATTGGGATGACCAAAATCCTCATTGGACATTTGAGACCAACAATCAAAATGTGTGGGGAACGAATGTATGGTGTGGCTTAATAAATGGTAAACTATTAGGGCCATACTTTTACGATGGTACACTTAATGGAAGAAGGTATAATGATTTTTTACTAAATGAGCTCCCAAACATGTTAGATGACCTTCCACTAGACATAAGAGCAAATTTAATATTCCAACAAGACGGAGCTCCAGCCCACAATGCAAATATTGTGAGCAACTACCTTAATGAATATTTTCCAAATCGGTGGATAGGGACTTATGGAGCAGTTCAGTGGCCACCAAGGTCACCAGATCTTACACCACTAGATTACTTCCTATGGGGTCACTTGAAAACGGTTGTGTATTCCAATCCACCTACTTGTCTTCTTGATTTGAAAAACAAAATAATTGCAGCATGTAATCAAATTACAGAGGAACAAATTATTTCTGCTATTAAACGACAATTTTTAATTCGTATTGAATGTTGTTTACAGCACCATGGTGCACAGTTCGAACAATTTGTTAGATAAATAAAAATTTTAGGAATAAAAAAAATCAATGTTTGTATTTTTATTTTACGTATTTATTATTATTTTATAATCTGTTTTATAATCAGATTACTATAACTCGGCCATTTTTTAACTTAGAAAAGAAATTCAACCACTGAAATTCATTAAAAAATACACTAAAAAATAATTTGTGGTCAAAAATAGGTCATTCCATTTAAAAAAAAAAAAATTATTGTGCGCATGCGCAAAATTAAGTGTCACAAAAATAGTCTAATTACTTGAAAATGTGTATAATAATGTTTATTAGTTAGCCAAAAAAACAGAATTGAAATATATGAAGCCTACGCATAGTTATTGAGTGTTTCCACTTATCGTGATCACACTGTATATATATTATATACGTTGAGTACTTTGTTGCACATAAGTTAACCCTGATCCCTAGTAATTATATCACACACCGAGGTCGAGTTTTCGAGACCTCGTTAATATAAACAGAATGACACCGAAAGAGCGATGCAAGCGATAGGTGGAGGAGACGTTACGGTATACCTACTAGTATGGTACATATTATATTGTCATATTTAAAAATCTAGTAAATTTTGAACATTGTTATATGTTAATATTGGGTAAAAATGTATGACAAACATTAGTTATATGACTTATGAATACAGAATAATATATTAATTTCATTGTTTTTAGATTTGCTAATTTGCAGAGTTTCAATAAATTGAACTGATAATTTTTATGACTCATATAATTTTGTAAAATTATACCGTTCAGGATGCAATAATAACCCGCCAATAAATACGATAGGTAAGCTGCGTCCGAACATTATGTGGAAAGTAACTTAGTTGCCGTAAATCTTAATGTAAGAAATTCTCATCAACAGTCTTACGTGAAGCAAGTAACATGTAGCCATTTTTTTGTGATAGTTTGATGGCCGTGAAAAACCGCCCCTTGAGTCATACACAATATCATACACTAGAGCTGAACTTCTGGGATTTTATGTTTTTTGTTATTATAAAACACTCTTAGTAAATTCAGGATAAGACAAAACAATATAATTACAAACTTATATAATATTATTATATTCAGTGGTTGAATTGGGGGGACGCGGGGGGGACGGAGTCCAACTTCTATTTTTAAAATATTTTAGCGTACCCCTTCTAATTTCAAGAATTGATAAGACATTTAAATGTTGGGGGGACGCACAAATGTTTTATACTTTTGCATACCCCTTCTATTTTTTTTTCAATTCAAGCACTGATTATATTACAATATGATAATATTATTATAATACGCACACCGATGCAAAATATTAATATCATACAATTCACATCACATCCTATGCACCCGGTTACCCACTGTTCGAGTTCCCTGTTGTAGTTGCAGCATCTTTGACATACGAGTCGCGTAATATAATCATCACTATACATATATGTAAGACAGTCATCACACGATTAGTTTTAGCATTTCCGGCGTCACGTCGAGTCAAATTAATCGGGAAACGGACGCGTTCCAATTAAATTTTTTATGAAAAAAACCCTATGCGTTACACTATGACATGAATCGCGTCGATTCTCCGAATGCCTATTGCTTATCATTACGTTACACGGTCACTAAAAGGTTGTAAATACAGCTAATATGACGTGTAGGCATATATTACATTATTATTACCGTCAGTATCTCGATAATGATATCCTTTTTGCCGGTATATTGTCCACGTAAGTCGTAAGTCCACAGAACTATATTCCGGAAATTCTTCCGACATTATATGATAATAATCGTCGTCGTATCGTTGTTATGTGCACTGCAGGTTCATCATCAACCCCACGCACATCCAACTCTCTCGTGTCACAACGTTTCGCGTCGATTTGTAATATTATTATTTTGTGTCGAAAATCAGTACAATAATAACATGACGAAGTTTAATAAGACGTTGTATAAGAATACTGAACAGTGTATACGCTGAAATATTCATGTGCCTGCTTCTTGAAAATACCGTGAAAACACTAGTGTGTTTGTGTGAACAAAATTATAATATTATAACAATTTGATTTCAGATATTCATTTCGAGCCTTGTTAAAAAAAAATATTAACTACTGCAGTATAGCATAGAGTAATTATAATTTATATTTATCATTTAATCCAAAAAATTCCTTGTTTTTCTTTCAAAATTATTACCAGTATTTTATCGACAGATAATGTATGTACAAAATATTTACGCCCTTTAGTTGAAAACAGATTCTTAACGTTTTAAAAATTCTTTTTTTGAAGTGTTATCAAAAACATTCAAAAAATTCATCAATAACAATAACACCAATAATTATATACCTATAGCTTGGAAGTTGGAATTGTCTGTGAGTTTCAATTTTCGGTCGTTGATATCATTTTTTTAAGAATTTAAAATTTATTTTTTTTTTGGGGGGGGGGAGGAACTCCCCAAATAAAATGTAATCAAACTTTATACGTTTCGGATTATTTTAACAAATTAGAAGATGAAATAATAGGAGTATTACATTTTATAGGTACTTATAAATTAAAAACAAAAATAATTACTAATCGATTTGTATGTAGGTATATCGTATATACTCGTCCATTATGAAATGATACTTTGATGATGTACCTACAACCCACCTGTAATTATTTATTCTTAGACACGACCATTGTTATGATACGTTTTAATGAGGAAACACGTCTAGAAAAAATAAAAGTAAAAAAGGTGCGCACATTTACAAACTTTGTGTCTACCCATGATTTAATGGATATTTCTTTATCTTTTTCCTTTCAATTACAACAATATATTATTATGATTATAATTTCGTAATAATACAATAAACATACATTGTAGCCCGTCGACTGTAATATTATTTACACAAGACATAACATTACTATTTATTACTATACAGTATACATGTATTCTAAAAAGTAAAACTTGATATTTTTTTCCCATCGGAATGTCAATCGGTTTTATAAGAAATGATTTGTACATATTATTTTTGTCTATCATTTTATGTTGTACACTATTAAATACAAACGACGCATCTATTATTAGTATTATTACGTTGCGTGGCAATCGTTATAATATTTCATATGAATAATAGTTATATTAAATACGTCATGGTGCACGCATAATATGATTCTCTATCGTGGTATAAACATTTTCAAAAGTATTTATCCGGGTAGGAGGGTGCATTTAAAAACGGCAAGAATAAAAGACATTGTAAAACTCGTCGTTTTCTTACAAACCGCGTAGGCATTAATAATATTTTATATTCTTATTTTTGTATGTAATAGGTACCTGCTTTATTTTAATAGCAGTTGGACATTTTAAATAACGTAAAAATAACAGTATTTACCCGCACGCAACAACCTTAAGGTTCTGAATAAATATTCTTATGCTTAAATCCATGTAATTGGTGATTTTTCGTTGGCATGCATAATGCATTTTTATTTTTTTTACTGCGTATCTTATAAACGTTTATTAAACTAGTTTTACACGTAGATTTCGATCGCGGCCTAAAAGATTTTTGATGTTTAGGTGTTGTATGTCTAGCAACGATTTTTTTTTTACTATTATTATTTATATTCGACCGATTAGAATCATATTTTTACTTGAATAATTCGTGACCATTACATTTTAAGCTCAATTAAAAACTAAATGTTTACTCGCGCTCTTTTTACATTTACTGTCGGCCTATGTGGGTTTTTACATTTTTCAGTTCATAAAATTCTATTAGTTTGTTGTTATGATGTAATGTGTATGTGAGTGTTTTTTACGATATAGGACCCAGCATTATCCGTGAGAACAATAATTTAAATAAAATAAAACTATCGGACGCCAGTGTTTATATATTATGAGAGATGTGTATAGGGTTCATCTGCCATATTCGAGCCTATATATTGAACAGAAATAGTTTTATTGTTTTTTTTCTCTCAGAATGTTGTTTATATTTTATTGACCTTCAACTCTGCGCAGATAATAACGTTGTTTAATTAAAAAGGATCATCATTCATTGCTGCGTTTACGAAAATCGATAAGCGCGCGTGGTAAAAATCGTTAAACTACACATACTGTAAGTTTGTTCACATGTCTCGTTGACAAAAACGTCAACTATTTTTTAATTAATTCACTGTAATAATCACTAATATATCACACAATAATAGAATAATTATTCTATGATTATATGGACTCGATGACAGTGGTCTTTGTGTTTTGTGAAAAAAATATATTAATTATACATTTTTATGTTTCAAGCGATCTTTAAACGTGAACAATTTTTTTTCATAATTGATGTCCATAATTAAAATATATCAAATTATTAATTTATAATAAACGTTTTATATTATACATTCAAACCAATAGCCATATTATATTTTTGTACAAGACTTCCACAAAAAAAAAACTCTCCTTATATGATAGAATATAATATAACATATTATATAAATAATATGTAATATTGGTTTTATTTGAAAATTAAGTGGCAACCTATAGTCAGACTTCAATGGGGTTGTATTATGGTCAGTGAACTGTTATGAGTTTATGACTTATGAGTCTCCTCCTTGAAATTGTTTAACAGCACCTATACCATTGAGTATGACCACTATGACCTGAGTCAGAGGCGTGCTCAGGTATTTTGGATGGGGGTTGGTTGGACATTTTTTTCAAACAAAATATTTGTTAAATTTGGCTTTCGTGAATTTTGTAAGGCTATAACTTAAAAACTTATGATTTTTGGCAATTCATTTTTGCAACATCATTCTTATTAACTCGTTGTAATGCATAGGTTTCCGAACAAAATAATTGAAAAATTAGAGTGGGTGCTAAGCTAGATTTGTTCCCAATAAATGGTTTTAATTATATGTAAATAGATATATTATATTCGTAAAGTGTCCATAGGGAGGTTCGAACACCTTAAACCACCCCCCCCCCTTGAGCACGCTCATGACCTGAGTAGAAATGCTCCACATACGATATTTTGTTAGACGTAAAATCGCTGACATTCTAATAGTTTAAGCAG